CATTATAAAGGTTTCTATTGTCCCTCTTGCTCAACTTTCCTTCCACTCCTTCATGAGAATCCATGTTGTAATTTCTTAATTTCACTTTCTCTCATTTCTGTGATTTGCACATGCTCTTCCTTCTGCTACAGTGATTCTTTTTGAGTGGGTCTTCCTTCTCCACCTGGTTAGCTGCCACTCATCCAGCATGGTTTTGCTTCCTTCAAGGAGTCTTCCCTGACCAACCCATAGCAATGAGCCTACAGCACCAGTGGAGGGGATTACTGATGAATGCATATCCTCTTCCTGGTGACACTACATTCTACAGACTCCCATGCAGTCACAGTCATGAGGCTACATGTCTGATCTGGTCCAAAAATGCCCATAAAGCTGCTCCATACTTTTTCATCTTTTATTGCTCAATACAAATGAACATGGAAACATGAGAAGCCATGAGTTGAAGATAACAGAGCCACTCTGTGATATTTTCTTTGGTCTCTAAACCAACACTTGAGAAAAGTTTCTGGCTAATTATGAATACTTGTTTTACATGGATGAAACTGGAAAGCATATAATATTAAGTGAATATGTCAGGCACAGAAAAATATGTTGAATGTTCTGATCTATATGTGGAACCGAAAAAGTTGATGTCAATAGAGAATAGAACAGTGGCTAGGAGAGACTTTTAAGGATATAGAGGAGAGGGAAAAGGGAGGGCATGATTAAGAGGTACCGGGTGCAGTTGGACTCAAGGAATAAATTCTAATGTTATGGCACAGTAAAATAACCATGGTTGATAATTGAATGTTTGAAAATAGCTAGCAGACAGGATTTTGAATATTCTCAAGACAAAGAAATGATTGATATGCCAATTACAGATTCATGATCATTACTAATTGTATACATGTATTGAAATATCACAATGTGATCCACTAAGTAAATAGTTGTTATACATACTTATTTATATTTATTCTTTTAGAATAACCTTTTTCAGACTTTGCATATTTGAGATATGTCCTTACTCTAGCAGCAAGATACATTGAACACTCTTTCAAATGTCTACTTCTCTATCTTCTAATGTACTGCCTCACATATAGTTACTATTGCATAAATAGTTTTGAGATAATTGAATAAATAAAAATGCATTGAGTACAGTAAATGGAGAAACCATCAAATAGTTTTCAATCAAGTTGTCATATTTGATATCTAAAATCAGCCTGCTTTAATCTAATATTACAGCTTTCACAAGATAATTTGTTATTTACTCTCTTTAAAAGTTTATTTTTTCTGGCCAGGTGTGATGGCACATGCCTATAATCCTAGCACTTAGGACCCTGAGCCAGGAACATCTCTACAAGTTTGAGGCCAGCCTGGGCTACACAGTGAGTTCAAGCCCAGCCTGGATTACCCAGCAAGATCCTGTCTCAAAGAAAAGAAAGTTTATTTTTTCTGAAATCATATTATGATAGACACAGACATATGCTTTTGGTATGAAGAAGAATTTACTATGATTGATTTTGGATAATTTTCTCTTGGATAATTCTATTTTGGCCCTTAATTTGCTAGCACGTATCAGATTTTAACAAGTATGCAACAATGCTTCAATTCTTTATTTTTCTTGATAATCTATCTTTTATTCAGCATCAGGATAATACAGTAATTAGTTTTCTGCAAAAGCTAGGTAATTTTACGATAGCTGTGACTGTTAACTAATTTGATTTGTCATATTGTGTAATAGAGAAAGCATTGTAAGTGAGGAAAACTTATAAGCAATAATTAAATTAGGTCACTGGTTTTGAATAGGCAGCAATAAAAAATTATAAAGTACAGTGTTATGAATTATGAATGTAGTGTGTTCATTCATCATTTATATAAGGTAGTTTAATAAAAAGACATAATATTGACTCAGAATGAATTATATGGGGCTATAATTATATGGGGCTGTAAAAGTGTTGAGACTTACTGACTGTGAGAAAAGGAACAGTTCTCTATTCGGTCAGTCTGTCTGGTAACAATAGAAATAAGATGTCAGTTTCCACGAATAATGGTAAGCATATTTTTTATTCACCATCTTGTGATTTTCTTATTTTTAAATGACAATGTATATATTACAGATGTTAGCTGAGTTGACGTTTCTGATATATGAAATAAGTATTTCATAATTATTTTGCTAACATATATCTGAATTCTAGGGTGAGTTTCAAATCTAAAGAATTAAGATTTTCATTTTACATTTAATGTTATTTAGTTTTAGTCTGACTCAGTTCCCCTCATGAATTAGATGAGATAAAAACCTATTGTAATTCTATTTAAATGCTTTAGGCTGTATTTTTTCAGAATTCACTAAGAGGCTTATGACTTAGAATCCTAAAAAGTTTTCTTTTCATGTACAGGAACAAATTATGCCTTTGAAACAGTCAAACAAGAATGTCTCTTTAAACTGAAGACTGAGTTTAAACTACATATATCATTGTGTTAAGAAAAATCCAGTGAAATATTTTTATACAAAATTTAAACTAGCTCCATGTTCTTCAAGCTCCGTGCATAATATAATTAGTAATATGAAACTTAGAGATACTTAAAGACAAAAGAACTTTCTTTTGTAGTCTTACCACCTCCCCTAAAATGATCTGTTTTATAAATTATATATATATGTATATATAGCAGGTAAAGTTGCACCATAAAAGATTTTTTAAATCAACAGGTAACTTTAATTCTAGTTCTATTTCCTATGAAGTAATAACTGGTACAGGGAGAAATCTGCCAAATTTCTCACTCACTGATAGATATCATGGAAACATATTTAAATTTGGGCTATTGCTTCACATTAAATAGTTAAAAATAAAAATTCCCAAGGCAAAAATGAATTTTATTATTTGATTAAAATAAGTATTTAAGTAAGTGCAAGTTTATAAGAATTTAATATCACATTTGTTTGTCTTGATTTCTTTTAAATCTGCTATTCTATTTTCTTTGACAAAATTGACTGCAGAGTTTCTCTTTTTAAAATAGTATTTTTTTATGTCTCACATTTTAAATAATCTTATCAGATTTGCTTTCTTATTAACTATTCCACTAATCACTCTAGACTACTGTTGCCAAGGGTTCTGTGAATGGTGCTCGCTTGGATAATCTGTGTAGAACACTTGCTCTTCTGGAAAATAGCACAAGATTTGCTTTAGGTTTCTTTGTAGCAAAGTGCATTGAGTTTTTCTGACTTTGTTTTAGAAAAACACTGTGTGTGTGTGTGTGTGTGTGTGTGTGTGTGTGTGTGTATTTTATCTCACCATTTATCTATGTTAAACAGAATTTTCCACTGGAGACTCAGTTGTCACCAAGCTGAAAACATAGCTTAATTAGTGGTAGAATCTCAAAGAACATTAATTTCCCCTTCTTCCCTGACTCAATGCTTATCTAACACTACTCAAATATTTCAAGACAGGTTATGTTTTTAAAATTATCCTTTGCATGGATTTTGTTAGAAAGGGGATAATTTTTAATTATATGGAAACTGAGAGAGAGCAATTGGATGACAATAGTTGTCTTAACACATGTGCGTAACTTACTTCCTATATGACATCCTATAAAATGTCAAAAAAAAATATGATACTTTTAAAGTAAGAATGAATTCAAAACCGAGAGAGGAAAAAATGTATGCCACCAACAGACTAGAAATATTAAAAGATTGCAGAAAAATAGAAAGTAAATAAGATCAAGTCTACACGGTTATTAAAATGCAAGAAAACACAAGTTAAACACAGGCAAAAGATTTCTGTGACGGAAAGAAAGGTGGGAAAGCCCTGAACACAGTGAGAAGCCTCATGCATTCTGAGAAGTTACAAATTGAAGAGCAATAGTGACAGTAAGGCCAATTAGCACCACCCCCCTCTCTGATCTATACTAAGTAACAGGTAGCGAAAGTGCTTATGTGTGAGCTAAGGCAATGTGTGGGCAACTGGAAGCACCACCGCACACCAATGCTTTGGGAGGACAGCCCCCTAGCATCGCATCAGGCCTCCCGGATATCATTGCTGGATGATCTTCTGAATGAAAGAGGCAAGTGATAGCAATACAAGACACCAAAAGTAGTAGTAGATGGGTTATTCAATATTTGAAGGAAAAATAGTACTGTTATACTGAAGAATAAGGTTAGCAGTACATCAGGTCAGGACTTAAAAATAAAATAATATAAATAAAATCTCTGAGACTATATTACATATCCAGACACTCAATCAGAGACTTTGAAATAAAAATTTCACCATGAAACTAAAAAAATACAGATACTTGATAGAGGAACATAGCTGCAAAACAAAACAGTGAACAGAAAGATATATTTAATAGAGAGAGACAAGAGAGCGAGGTAGTCAGAGAAGCGAAAAACAACTGTACTAAGCTTATTAAACTGTAATTGGGAAAGATAGAGACAACCATCTACTCTTGAGATTGACAAAAATCTAATTTTAAGTGCAATTGTTAAAATTAGGAAAAAATCACAAGAAAAATTTTGACTATGCAATTTTCAAATCAGTAGACCTTAAAAAATACACAATGTAAACTTAATCAGCAAAGGTAAATAAAACAATAAAAAAGAAAATAGATAAGTTTTAAATGTCTATAAAGAGAACAAATATAAATGTATTAGTGGTCATAAATATAGATGAACTTCCCCATTTAAAAAAAAAAGAAGAGCCTTTCAGGTGGGATTAATAACAAAATAAAACCAACTCTGAAATTGCTTGTGAGACACATTTAAATGAAAATAAAAGTACAGATAAATGTAAAAAAGAAATAGAGAAAAAAACATGAGGAAAATAATAAATAAAGATGGCATGGCAATATTAATACCTAATAAAATGAAATTCAAGTAGAAAAAGGAGTGAAGGGGACAAGTTGTATTATTACTTAGGATTCTCCAAAAGAGTAGAATCAATAGGAAATGTATATTTACATAAATAATTATGGAGAGGGATTTATTAGATAGGCTTATGGGATCAGAGGCCAGGTAGTCCAACATTACCCACCTACACACTCGGGAGCCAGAGGATCCACAGGTGCTCAAGCCAAGAAGCTGGAACCCCCAAACAACAGGGATCTAGGATGTAGTGTCAGACTGAGGGGATGACTTGGAGGAATCCTGGAGATTTACAGCTGTGAGTCCCTATTAAAAGGCTGAAGAAACTGGAGTCTGAAGTTCAGGAGTGACTGCAGTAGCAAAAGTCACACCCACTGAAGCAAAATGGAGCTTTTCAAATGCAGGCTGACTTCCGGCTTCTTTCCATTCCTTCTGGGCTACAAGCTTGCACGTTGCCACCCACAATCAGGGCAGGTTTTTTCCTCCTCAGTTTGGTGACTTCCATGCCAGTCATCTCTGGAGGCACACCCAGAAGGGTTCTTTACTAATCTCCCCTGAGTGTCTTAATCTAGTCAACTTGACAATCACAAGTTAACCCTCACAAATATATTTAGCATTAAAATATAAGCATTAAAATTATAAATATAGCATTAAAATATACCATTAAATTATAAAATTATAATTCAAAATATAAATATATCACTATTACTATGAACACATATATATATAAAATATAAATTAGAAATACATAAGTAGAAAATAGATGACACAGACACACAAGATTACACTGTTAAATCCAGAATTATAGTACTGGATTAATGACTTACAAAAACACACCTCTTTGTAAAAAAAAATTGGTAAGCTGAAATGATTTTCTTGGGACCAAATAAGAACAATTTTTGGGAATTTAGTGTTTTGATAAAAAAAAGTTACTGAACTGATATATGCATTTATTTTCCCCTGAGCGTTTAAGTAAAATAATTTATTATTACTTTTCACATTTTTGCTTGAGGTCCTGTATAATATCAAAACATAAATTGATTAAAAAATTGTCTTCTGGACATTTTTTTAAAGGTTTATTTCCTCTAACAATTATTCTTAGTGTGAAATGACAAATGATATAAAACATTGCATTTGTTACTATTCATCAATAATTAAAGTTCAAAAGAAATAAGATCCTAATTGTAAATAGCTAGATATCATGTTGCTCCTGCCCACATTACGCATTTTAAGTTCACTCATTTGCAGTAAGGAAGCCCTGCCTATGAAAGAAATGTTTTGGAGAAATAATTTAGCAATTAATAAGAAATGGCTCTAAGAATTCCAGAGAGATCTTAGGAAGACATTGCTGAAAAATCCCTAAAATGGAGAAGTCCAGCACAAAAAAAGAAAAATTAAGTAGAATTTCAATCTTAAGCAGAAAGGAAGAAAAAACTTCAGATCTAACACCAACCATCTGTATTTTTCAGCATCAAAGCAGGAAATGACAAGGCAGAAAGATATATGCCTTGGGACTGTTTGTATATAATGTATGTATTTGAGATTTATACATGGAAATGGGGTGCACAAGCAACAATACAGATGGCATCATTCTCTGGTGTTGCTATGCTGGCAGCTAACAAACAGCAAGGGACATTACAGAGGAAGGATACTGGCCTCAAGTGACCCTTCTCCCAGCTCCCTCTCTACCACTCGAGATCCCTGGTCCCCATGTCCCTCTCTCAGGACCCACACAGCCATCTGATGCTTGATCCCCTGATATGTCCTCTATCTTAACATAGAGGCTGGTGGGAAAACTGTGCAGGTGGTTAGGTTGGACATCCGTGACCCTCACCAATCTTTCAGCAAGCCACACTTAGTGACTGATGATTGGCGTTAAGTTCACCATCATTCTTCCAGTGAATTAATGGCAACCTGCCATATGAACTGAAAGACTTTTCCAGACCTTTTCATAGTTTCTTAATGACATCATGACCATTCCGCTACCCCTAAATTCAGCCCAATATAACCCCACAAAGCTGAGGGCAAACAAGCTTACAGTGGTCAATAGTGCCTTATGTTTAACCTGTCATTTTTTATTAACCTTTTCTTTCGTTTTTGTTTTTTTGTTTTTTTTTTTTTTTTTGTAGAGGGGATCAAACTCAGGTCCTTGTGAGACAGGCAGCGAAACCACTGGGCTAAATCCTCGGCTTATTTACCATTCTTAAACACCAACGCGTGAGGGGGATTAATATTGTTACCCACTTGAAATGGGACCTGGGCTTCAAAGAGACATAATCCAGTCCCTCAAATCAGGGCTAGGATATAGACAGTCTTCCAAGGGTCTAGAAAGAGAAGTTTTGATTAAAACTAAACAAACAACAAAAATCCTCACTTTATTTCCAAATCCAAGAGATCCCCCAAAGGAGGCCAACAAGGGCAAGACAAATCCAGGAGGATTTTTTTTTGGGGGGGGGGCTGATTTCCTAATGCACTCAGTTGCATCCTCTCCTATCGCACCCCTCATCCGCTCCTCCGGCCCCCAGGACGGTTGTTAGATTCGCCCTGATCTGCTCAAACAGTCAGGTCGTCCTCCAAAGGGGCGAGTCCGGTGCGGATGCTGTTTTCAGGTCCGCAGTCTCTGCCTCCTCCCTAGGCCCCGCCTGCTCTCTGGGCTACAAGTAGCCCAGGGCCCCAGAACTCCCCCAAGTTCTCCACCGAACGCCGGGGAGAGTTTTCCGCTGCCCGGATCTTGGCCGCGCCGGGAGCTCGGAATCCGAGCGGACCCGCCGTGCGCAGATCCTGCCAACTGCCTCGCTGCCCGCGCGCTCTCGCCGCAGGTGACTACTCCTGGAGAGCCGCTGCACTAGGTGGCGCCCAGATGGACTCAATGAAGCGCAGCCTGAGGAAGATGCTGCGCACTGGGGAGAAGGAGCCCCAAGCGGTAGTCTACCACGGCGTTGACAGCATGTCTGACTCCAAGGACTTTAAGGTACACCTGGGCCGTCAGGACGGGCTTCAAAGTCTGGGCGGGTGGTCTGGTGGTTTCCTTGCGGATAACATTTGGATACCAGAACTGGTAGCAGCAAGATGAGGCGAGCAGATGCTTGCTTTAGGAGTGTGCACCATGTAAGAACTTCTCGCCGCTGGGGAGCCTGCTGGACCGCGCTTGTAACGCGTCTGCCCAGTGACTGCTTTGTCCTTTCTGTCTGCTGGTTGCTTTTCAACTTGTTCTTGGTGGGTGGTGGGCATCTACAATTTCCGGAGATCTACCCAAAAAGTACCTCCTTTGGCATTTAGCAGAGTAAAGTCAATTACCTAAAACCAAAACAATTGTGTAGTGTGTGCCATTTCCCTTGGACTTTTTATAGGCTTTCTTTTAGAATCAGACAGCTGAAAGGCAATATTCTGGCTGATGGCCATACAAAGGTACATAGGGGTTGAGGAGCATTCTTGTCCAGTAGTGTGAAACAGAGACCCACACCCTGCAAACAATGCTTTGCATTGAACTGAAGCAGGACTGGCCCTGGGGGCCTCAGAAAGATTAACAGATTAACTTTTTGAAGGTGGGTAGGTGACTGGGATGGGGATTCTGTTTATTATCCAGTTCTCCGGATGTTTTGACCTAAGGTAGTACTACCACCTGATGTACTCTTCTATTCTGCGGGGCACAGGCTGTTGACTATGGATTTCCTCAGATTGACAGAAGGAGGGACAGTCTCTCAAGAATTAAAGTATCATTAAGAGTGACTTTTCAAACCCCCAGTGCTTTCTACAGTGGAACCATGCTAATAGCTCCTGCATTTTCCAGGAAAAATAATGCTTATACAAATACACATATGTTCATATATCTTTCTTTTATTTACAAAGGTATGAAGCTGCAGAGATTTGGACTTTGATTTGCTTATGAAATGTATTTTAGAATACTTTTCCAAACAGTGCTTGGAGATTTGCCTCATTCATTTTTAGTAGCTTCATAATACTCATGTATGAATGTATCATGGTGTATTTAACCAGTCCTGCACTGATAGACACTAAGTTGTATACGGTGTGTTTGTGATTGTAGATGTGGCTTCTCAGTCTTAATATTTTTGTGTGAAAGTTCTAGAAGAATCAGGAGAAATACAGTTTTAACTTTATGATCATTGGCAAATGACCACTAAAGCAGGTTGCATGAACTGACAAAATTGCCAATTGTGTAAGTTGTGTAGTAAGTCACACCGACCAGCAAACCAGATCTCTAAACTAGAGTCTACACATACAGATTCAACTGTGACTTTTTCATCCTCCTTCATATTAGCATATTAAGTAAGATCTTTGGTTTACTTCGAAGAACTAATACATAAATAGATTTTATCACTAGCGTAACATCTTTGGAAGTAACATGGAACAGGGAGAAATTTAAAAATTTTGAAAAATAACTATGTAGTTTTGCTTTTTTACAGATAGTTGCTAGAGGGTTTCTACAGTCCAGTTTCAGTCTTTTTTCTTTCCTTTTTTGGTACTGGAGATTGAACCCAGAGTGATTGTCCTGAGCTACATGGTTAGCTCTTTTTCATTTTTTATTTGGAGACACCATCTCCCTAATTTGCCCAGGCTATGCTTGAACTTGTGATCCTCCTGCCCCAGGTTCCAAGATTGCTGGAATTACAGGTGTGTGCCATCACTCCAGACTTCAATTTTTTTTCTTGTTTTTATTCAGTCTTATTAACTAAATCAAGTAGAACCCCTCATGTTATTTAAGGCTATATTATGACTTATAGACTGAGAGGTTTAGATATTTTCATTTCATCAACTGCAGTAGTTTCAGATCATTCCATAAACTCCCAGTGGTTGACCTCATTTTAAAGCAACATATATATAAAACTAGGGAAAAATTTGAACTCAAGTACTTTCTTGGTGGGTTTCTGATATGAAAGATATGATATTTAACATATTTTTACACACACACAATCTCACGAACTCTAACAAAATCAAAAGATCACAGAAAACTTGCAAAATGTGAAAAATGTAGAAAAAGAACTGTTAGATACCATTTCCTTTTAAAAATAATTTTCAAGAGTGTTAATACTTTAGCATTTAACCTTTCAATTGTTAAGTCTTTCATTCTGGTTTCCTTCCTTCCTTTTTTTTTTGGTCCCTTTACTACTTATGTGTATTTCATTAAAGCCAACTAAAATGGATATATTTTAAATCTCTGATTTAAAGAGCCTCATTAGAATTAGCTTCTCTAAAAGTACTGTAGACACTTTATTATGTATTGAATCTAGAAATATTTCGGAATCCAAAAGAGCTTGAAGTTACCATGAGACAGGAGGAAACTACATTGGTATCATTTGTCTAAATGGCATCCTAGGCTTACCTTCCGGAACTTTATTTAAGAGTCCTTTTCAAA